ATTGATGATCCTGCTAGTGGGGGTTAAACGCTAGCACATGTCGGCCCATGTCGATATGTTATTGATGATCTTGCTAGTGGGGGTTAAACACTAGCAAATTTTTGTCGCCTGCCAGTGGGTTGTTATAACACTAGCCATGACTTATAGATGAGACTACTGAACTGAGTTTTCTGCTGCATGAACGGTTTTTTAGGAAACGTTTTGTTATTGAACCGAATTTGATTTTCGCATTAACGGTTTATCAGTGAAAGTTCTGTTATACTTACATGGTTTATCTGGCATGTTAAAAGTTTTACCCAAGGGCTATTCATATTTACTTACTGAGATATTTTATCTCATAGTTTTCCTTGTCCACCATTTTAGGAAGCGAAACCGAGGACGGGGAAACCGAGGACGGGGAAACCGAGGGGAGTGACGAGTTAGAAGGCTAGCCATTTCGAGATTGACATAGATTTTAGAAATAAATCGCAATATTGTAAACTCAATTTTATTGGAGATCTATGATATTAGAGTAAATTATAAAATTTTATCTTGAGATTTTGTGGTATCAGATTGTGATTTGAATAAGTTCTGAGCCTTGTGCACTTGTGGGACCCGTCTCACGAGTGCACGGTGTCTGCCACGTCTCCGGATTTGGGTTCTGGGGCGTGACAATCTTCCTTTTCCAATCCTCTATTGTTTGTAAACCTAACAAGGAAAATGAAGACAAAACATATTAGTTAAAATAAAAATAAGATTGAAAATAACAATAAAATTAAAATTCTATTAAAAATTTGAGTTATGACAGGGGGGAAATAGTGTAAGGACAAGTTAAGAGCAAGTCTGAGATTACCGATTTGGACGTACTATGTATTTGATAAGTTCAATCCTTTATTAGCTCTTCGATCTCGGTCACTCAATAGCCGAGGTAAAGTCCAAATTCAGCTCTCCCTAGTTGTATGATAATTACGATGAGCATGCCCTCACCGAATCCCCTATTCTCGAGATCATTGCTTCACTAGACATGTCAAACCCCGATCATCTCGTTAAGCAAGCCACGTGAATACCTCATTAAGGCTTAAAAATACTCCCAAGGGTTACCTCGAAAAGTTAATCGAAACCGACCTAAAACTTTTTTTACAATCTTTTTTTAAGGTATATTAGATTATTGCTGATTTAAGTATCGGAATGTCTATCCCGAGGATCCATCTCGGGGCTTTGCAGGTCAATCTTAAAGAAAAGATTTGAATTGAAGGAGACTTATTGGTTCGTTGCAATTACACTAATTGGATTCTTAGTATTTTAAATTTTTAGAATATAAAATTAACAATAAAAAAAGTTTTAAGGAAGATCATTGAGAGAAATGTTTTATATAATTTTTTTCATATAATTTTATATGTTGTTTAATGATGAAAAAAATTGAGAGATATTTTTTTGACAATTTTTTTATATAACCTTACACATGATTTAATGATTGTTTTTTTACTTTACTTAGACCCATAATATTATATATATATTAATTTATTTAATTACATAGAGATGTTGTATAACAAAGTTCAAAAAAAAATTGTCTGCATATTATCAATATTATTTATTATCTTTTGCTTGAATTACGGCCAAGAATTAAAAAAGAACTAAAATTTTATTAGTGTCTAAATAATTCTTCTATTTATCATCTGATTTTATTCTTGTGTTTAAATTTAATTTCAAATTGTGATTTAAATTCATTTTCTTTTTATGGTTAGTCCAAAACTAAGAATTAAATGAATTCAAACTAAAATTATTAATTTATCCACAAAATAAACAAAATTAAAAAATCATAAGTAAATTTAATTTAAATATTATATAACAAAAACTCTTTTATATTAAATTATTTCTTTAGAATTCAAAATTCACCTTGTTAAATTTTTATTTACATTCATAAATAATCTCAATGTATTATCCATTTAAATTTCAAATTAATACTCTCTACATCTTAGAATAATAGACACTTTTTTATTTTTTCTTTAAATTAAGAATTTAGAAACATATTCTATTTTTACTTATATAATACTTCATTATAAAAATGGTTAAAATTATAATATTATATTATAAAAATTCTTAAAATTATCAATAAATCTCAAATAAATACCCTATGAACCTTTTAAAATCTTCCATGAATCTCTTTAAAATATTAATAAAATCTCAAATAAATATTTTATCTTCACATTAAATTTTTCAGGATAATTTCTATTGTTATCCATTTTATCTCTAAAAAAAATAAAATAAAGAAAATATTTTATTAAATGATAGATAGTTAAAGTTAAGAGGTAAAGATAAGATTAAAGAAAAAATATTTGTATCTCTTAAAATATGAAAAACGATTATTATTTTAAATCAAATTCTAAATCATTATGAGATGAGGGAGTATAAAAAAATGTTAAATTCTTCAATAAATCTTAAATAAATAACTAATTAACCTTTTAAAATTTTCAATAAATTTTTAAAAAAATCTTTAATAAATCTTAAATAAATGCTAAAAAATTACTCAATACATCTTTAAAAATCTTTAATAAATAATAAATAAATACCCAATATGCCATTTAAAATCTTCAATAAATATCGAATTAGTTTGACAATGCTAACTATAGCTACAACTATAAGTTTTTTGATTCTTTAATATCTTAAAAATATAAAATATATTTTTATATTTAATTAATATTTTATATAATTTTAA